GGGTCTGGGACGTGAACCGCGGTCAACTACATGGGAATCCAGCGACATAGCCATTACGCTAATTGCTGGTCCCTCCTGAAGGTTTTTGAGCATACCTCTTCGGCCCTGAGATTCCAGCATGTGGCTGGCATACCTGTGTGGGGCTTCTTCTCCCATTGTACATGACCCCATCGGTCTCCTGTTCCCGTCTTTCCATCTCTTTCAGGGGATGGGGTCTTACTTCAGCTGGTCGGTTTGCACTGTTTCTTCAAGGCCGAGGAGAGGGGTGCTCAGCTGCCTGGCACCTGGACTTAGGTGAACAGACTCCTGCAGCCGCCCTACCCTGCAGCTCCTCAACTGGAGCTGCTGCTGCAGTTGGGCTCTCAGCGCCAGACTGCCAGCGGGTGCCACCCAGGTGCAAATGTGGGCAGCACCAGCATCGGATGGGCTCGCTCCAGGACTCAGTGGAATGGCTTTGGCTCTGGGCTACCCCACCCTCGCAGGCTTCTCTTGCCCACCCACAGAGGGGTGCGATGGGGCATGGGGCCCCGCCCTGCTCAGTCAGGCATTTGCTGCGACCAGGTCGACCAGGCTCGGAGGACGCACCAGCGGCGGCCCTGTTACGGTGTAGTCCCTCTCGGCCTCTGTGGTACTTGAACGCGCATTCAGGGAAACGGAGGTCCCCGTGCAGGCGTCGCCTTTCCCCCACTGTCACTGTTCATCCCACGTTCCTAGCACAGGAAGCTCCTGTGGAAGCAGCCCCCCGCGGCTGCAGACCACTGCCCCAGTGTCCTTCCGGAAGTCTTCACTGCCACCTGCTCACCCCACCCAGGCCTGGACGGTCCAGGGGCTGACAACCCTTGGACAATGACCATCACAGGCTTCCCCTCACTCCCTCACAGTTCCCGCCCCAGGGGTCTACACTCCTCTCTGTTCCACCCCAGGCTTCCAGCCTCGGTAACCTTCCCAGGTCTCTACTTCCTCCACTCATCACTGCCAGGGTCTCTACTGTCTTCACCCCGCCCCTTCTATGTCCATCTCTGTGCCCTTCCCAGGCCCCGCCCCTTGACAGGTCCCTCACCCCTCCCTTCCCCTCCCAGCAGGTCTCTCTTCCCTCCCCTCTCCTCCCCTCTGCTCACCTCCCCGCAGGTCCCTCTTCCCTCCCCTCCTGTCCCGCAGATCCCTCTCCCCTCCCCTCTCCTCCCCTCCTGTCCCCTCCCCTCCCGTCCCCTCTCGTCCACTCCGGTCCCCTCCCGTCCCATCCCGTCCCCTCCTTCCCTCCCCTCCCCTCCCGTCCAGTCCCGGGCAGGCAGGTCCTCGCACGCTCACCCTCCGGGCTCTCCGTCCCCCGCCCCCAGGTCCGGCCCGCCCTTGCGTCCTGACGTCATGACGCAACGGCGCCCCGGCGTCGC